GTGGAATATTTGCATTCCACAACTATCTTGGAGATGGGATCCAAGTCAAACCACAATTTATTTAGGTTTCATGTACACCTTATACATACATATATAGCATAATTTAAAAAAATATTTATTTTTTTTTTAATTTTATGTGTATGCGTGTATTGCCTGCATGTAGGTAAGTGCACCCATGTCGTGCAATGCCTGCGGAGGACAGAAGAGACTGTCAGATCCCCTGGAACTGGAGTTACGGACAGTTGTTAGCTGCCATGTGGGTGCTGGGATTCAAACCCGGGTCTTCTGCAAGAGCACTCAGTGCTCTTAACTGCTGCGCTGTCTCTCCAGTCCAGCATAATTTTACACAGTAGTTTTACGTGTGCTTGTATTGTGACTGAAATTTGTCACATGAGGTAATTTATCAAATTTTCTACTTGCTGATAATCAGAATGTTTTTAATTTTGGATTATTTCAAATTTTGGATTTTAGATTAAGAAAGTTCAGGTCAGTACATTACAAACTGCCTGACTATCATGCAAGTTATATTCTGCAGTGGTTTCTTAAGTCCTGGGCAGGGAAGGAGAATACAAAAATCTCCATACCTATTAGTTCAGTCTTACTTCATTAAAAATTTGAGAAAAGGGGGTTGGAGAAATGGCTCAGCAGTTAAGAGCACTTGTTCCAGGGTTTGGGTCCCAGCACCCACATGGTAGCTATTAAAAAAAAAAAAAATTATAATTCTATTTCCAAGGGATGTGATACCCTCTTCTGTCCCCCTCAGGCACTGTATGTATGTGGTACCCTTACAAAACACTCATACACTTAAGATTAAAAGTAAATAATTTTTAAAAATCTGACAAAAAACTTCTTTCAAAATAATGAGGTAAAGAGAAAACACTGTTCTTCTCATCCACGAAAGACGGTAGCAATGAGTAAATTTCAATAATGTTTTTTAAAGATTTATTATTTTGATGTGTGCCTGTGGAAGTTTACATGTACTGTGTGTGCAAGAATTCATGGATCCCTTGGAACTGGAATTACAGGAAGTTGTAAACTGCCATGTAGGTGCTGGGAACCAAACCCCAGACCTCTGTAAGAGCAGTAAGCACTTTCTACTGCTGAGTTCTCTCTCCAGACCCAACAACAAAGTTTTGGAAAGTAGATAAAATTATTAATGTAGTCTCTTTAGCCCAATGTAGTTAATCATAAAAATCAAGTAGCCCTGGCAATAATGTGAGATACTTCTATTTATCTCCTCTTATGAAACTGTATGTGATGTCAATGAGCAAGAATAAACCTTTCTGATTGTGGCTTAGGTTTTAATTCAGAGCTTCTCTCTCCAAAGAATTTTCTACATGCCAATTTAATATATAGAAAAGACATATTTTTGTCCTACAACAACAGCTATACCTACAAAATCTCATGAATAAAAGAAAAATAAGTTAACTACATTTCAATTTTTTTTAGGTGATATGTGCTTGGATAACATTTTACTAAATTAAAATTTTTCCCTGGGCTGTAGCTTAGTGGCAAGAGTGCCTGCCTAGGTTCAACCACCCAGTGCTGAAAACAAACACAAACACACACACACACACATACACACACACACACACACACACACACACACACACACACACACAATTCCCTCCCAGTCAGATACACTCCTATCTTAAAAATAAATGTTGTCTTTTCTCTACTATCCCTAACAGTCTATGTTTTTGTTTTGAAATTTTTCTGCCATTAACACAGTCTAAGACCCAGACTGAATCCTGGACTATCTTTGCTGGCTTATCAAAGAATCACTAGAGCCCAGACAATATAGCTTAAGAAGAGAAACTTTCTGAAAATAACAGAACACTATAAGCTAATACAAAACTCTGTATTTCTGTTCATAAATATGCCCAAAGTTCACCCTCTGTAACCATCTAACCTAAACTTTTCGCCAAAAGGAATGTTTTTATTACCCAGATCCCGGAAAATATGAACATAAATGATATAAGCCCCACCCCCACCCCCACCCAACAAAGTGTTACCTAAGTAAAAAAAGGTGCTATACCCAGATTAAAGATAATTCTCACCTGGATAAGCCCAGATGTAGTTGAACTGGGTTTACGTTTATAGGCCACTAGTTTCCCTGCAGGAGAAAGCCCTGCATAAAAAGGAAGACCTTTGCCTCCATGTAATTTCTCCCTCACTGAATCCAGGGCTTCTGTCTGCACAGGAGAGATATCATCCATTTTCCCAGGGGACAATGAACCATCAGGAGTCTCTGATCCAGATTTCTCAGCCATATCATCCTGGTCTTGACATGATGGCATAGAAATTTTCACACGAGAAGAATAAACAGGAGGGTTCTTCTCACCCCGACACTTTCGCTGAGAAGCCAACTCAATGATGAAGCTGCCCACCTTTAGTGATTGTGGCATGTTGCTATTAATGTGCTGAGATAAGATGCTCAAAATCTTGTTGCGATCTTCTTCCCAATTGCAATCTGAGATGATCTCTATCAGTTTGGTGGGACCACCAGGTGACCTCTGATGTACATAAGAGGTAGAAGAGGACTCTCCTTCATTGCAGGATTTCCAGCTTTTTTCTGTTAAAAGAAATTAGAAAGATATTTATACATCACACCCATTCTGTACTGAACTTTGAACAAAATTCATGTTTCTTTCTCACTGTCCCAGTTCCTAACATGTAAAAAACTTAACATTCATAATTTCAAGTTTGCCAGGAAAGAAAAAAAAGGTCTCACAGAATTGCACTACAATTGCCTTCACTACCCCACTGACTAAAATTCTCATAAAAAGGAAATTCTCTTAACACTGCTCTAAAAGGCCATAACTACTGCATAACAAAGTACTACCTTGCAAACAGTGTGACCTATAATTAAGGTTAAGCTTACTTAATAGAGGTTACTGTTCTGATGTCCAAACAGGCAAAATAAAGACACTTGCAAGCTTGCCTTGAAACATGTGAGGGTAAGAATCAACAAAAAAAAAAAAAGAAAGAAAGGAAAAAAAAAAACAAAAAAACAAAAACAGAATTTAGGCTTAAAAGAAAACAGAAAAGAAAAAAAGAGGTCAGCAAGACAGCTGGGGTTAAAGGCATTTGTCACCAAGTCTACTGACCTGAGTTCAACCTCCTGGACCCACATGGTAGAAAGAGAGAAAAAAAACTCCCCTAAATTGTCCTGTGATCATCACACGTGTACCATAGCAAATACACAACTGCCACCACCCCATAAAACAATTTCAGAAGAATTTTAAAGGCATACTCTACAGTAGTTTCTATTGCAAATTCTTCTGTGCCTCTAGATATGGTTGCTCCATTTCTACACATCAACGTATTTCAATTCACAGTGACATGCTGACAAGATATGTATCTCATGAGGCTCCCATGAGGTTCCTAGATTTCTAAAGCAGGGCTTCTCAAACAATATTCTACAGTTATGTCAAGGATACAGGCTCCACCATCCCCAGGTTGCTCATGATCTCAAGCAGGTTCTTTCTACTCCAGTAGCCTCCTTTAGTTTCTTGAACGTAGTATAAAAACACTATATTTTGTGTATACCATGTCATTTTTAAAAGTACTGCTGCTTAACTATTTAAGTCTTAAGAAGTATAACCAAACCAGGTAACTTCTTATTTGTTGGGGTCATAATCTCTTCACAGCAATTCTGGCAGTAGCCTCTTCTAGATAAATCAGTGATAGCCCTTCCATTATGCCTCTACATTTTCCCAGTGGTGGTAGCTAAGGGAAGACCTAAGACAAAATTCAATAGCTAATGATGTCTGTATTGCTGTGGTTTAGAAAGAGGTTTAAAGAAAACTTCTCAAAAAGACCAAAACAAAAAACAAACAAACAAACAACTTCACTGATCTGATGCTTACATGTCTTTTGCCATAAAATACTACTACCTAAAAGCAGATTTTTGAAGATTCTTAAATCAAAAAATGAGACAATATTTTTGCTTCTTTCTATTTTTGGCAGAGAAAAAAACATAGACTCATAGATTCTAGATTGCTGGTCTGAGATTTCTGCCACTAAATAATCAGGACCTGGGGCTGGAGAGATGGCTCAGTGGGTAAGAGCACTGACTGCTCTTGCAGAAGACCTGGGGTCAATTCCCAGCACCCACATGATGGCTAAAAACCGTCCTTAACTCCAGTTCCAGGGGAATCAGAAGCCCTCTTCTGACCTCTGTGGCATTACATGACACGGGTGCACTCACATACATGCAGGCAATACATTCATATACATAAAATAAAAATAATAAAATATTTAAACAAATCAGGACCTATATAATAATTACAATAAAATGTTAAGATCTAGTTTTTATTCTGACCTTGTGATTTATCAGTATCATCCTCCAAGTCACAAATGAGTTGTTTTAAAGACTGTTCAGAATCAGGTTCCTAAGGAAAGGAGTAATATAGAAAATATTGCAATTCAATATATATTTGTTATCTACAAATAGAATAATTCACAACTTCACACCTGCCCACATAGTTCTATTACTACCATATTATACATATATCTAAACAAGTAGACCTACACTCTAATCTTCTTAAAAATTACTGAGTCACTTAGAAAATAAATTATATACTATATTCTAGTACAGAAGGAACAGTATCTGTTGTTTTACAGGATAAGCTTCAGTTATTTAGAAAATTCACCAATGTGAAAAAGATACAAATCCTATTAATTATAGGCAAGTATTTTGTGTTGTTTTAATTACTATAAGGTCTTAGTAACATTGAATTGAGGGATAGATTATTTGAATAGATATACAGAGAAACCAATTGGTTTACATATCATGGGATGTGCACAGAAAATTATAACAGTAATGCAAATTCTTATAACAGCCAACAGGGAATTGGAGATTTTTAAAAAGTTATATGAAGCAGGGCCCAGCATGGTGGCACACACCTTTTAATCCCAGCACTCAGGAGGCAGAGGCAGGTGGAGCTCTATGAGTTTTGAGGCCAGCCTGGTCTACATAGTGAGTTCCAGACCAGCTGGTGCTATAGGGAGAGCCTGTCTCCAAAGGACCCCCCAAAAAAAGTTATATGAAACAAGCAATTCACCTTTGTACTATGTTTCTCAGGACTAGAATAACATGAGCTCTGCTGGTGAAATGATGGAGTTGGGGATAGGGATGGGGATGGCTGTCTCTGTTCCTCTTTCTTTCTTTCATATACTCGAACTCGGGCACAAGTCATCATACTTTCAAAGTACAAATAGACTGGATCTTTGTCCTCTTCTCGTATCTGTAAGTTTCAGAAGTAAGAAACACTCTGTTACAGTAGTGAAAAAAGCATTTCCTAGAATCCAAAAGTTTAAACTTTGTTTCCATTAAAGAAGTAAAAATTTCTATTTCTCCTCCTTTGGTGTTTCAAGAGTGAGTTTCATGTAGCCCAGGCTGGCCTTCAACCTGACACTGACCTTAAACTTCTTATCTTCTTGCTGCCACCTCCCCAGTGCTGGAATTACAGATCTGTGCTGCCATGCGGCAGCTGAATTTCTAACACAGTTATCTATTTATGTGTGTGTGCTCATATGCATGCCATGGTGCATATGTGACAGTCAGAGGACCAATCACAGGAGCTGGCTGTCTCCTACACCATGTGGGTTCCGGGAAAAGAACTCAGGTCATCAGGCTGGTGGCTGCTGAGCCATCTTGCTGGCTCTAGTTGAAAAGAAAATTTTTTTAATTTATTATTTTTATTTTATGTGTATATGTGTATTGCCTGTATGTAGGTAAGTGCACCTGTGTCATGCAATGCCCGCGGAGGACAGAAGAGGCTGTTGGATCCCCTGGAACTGGAGTTAGGACAGTTGTTAGCTGCCATGTGGGTGCTGGGATTCAAACCCAGGTTTTCTGCAAAAACAACCAGTGTTTTTAACTGCTGAGCCATCTCTCCAGCCTCTAGCTGAAAATTTTTTAATGTAAGCTCTAAAATTAGGTAACAAGCTAAAGTCTGCAGTAGTTAGAAAAAAATCCAGTTCTCTCGTAAGAAATTTAGGATCAAGCCACAGCAGTGATTCCCAAGTCATCTGTGGTGAAGATGCATTTGTTAATTATCAGTCTATCACAGACTAATACTTTGGCAAAACACAATAAAATAAATCAGGACAGCAAAAAACGTGTAAAATTGCAAGCCAAAGGTTTTTAATATCAGATTTAATAGTTTAATCAATTTGCTGAAGAAGTTATAAAATATTTAATTTTCTGTTCTTACTACACAACAGATCAGAAGCCATTTTAGTATAGCTATACAGTGTAGAATTGTACTAAAACATCATTCGTTCTTCACTGGGCATGGTGGTGCATGCCTCTAATGCCAGCATTCAGGGGGGCAGAGGTAGAAGCATTTGCATTCCAGGCCATCCAGGCTTATATATTGAGAGTCTGTCTCAACAACAACAACAAAAAAAACAAACAAATGACCCCCTTTAACAAGTTAATAGGGAAGACTGAAACAGATTCAGTAATCAGAATAGCTTAAGATACTGAAAACTAAAGAATCATTCTTTCACGTAAATCATTCTTAACAGTCACATAGTATCAAGAGATCTTGAACTTTACTGCTATTACTATACATAAAACTTCCTTAAGACCGTTTCGTTTTTTCTTTTTCTTTTCACTTTATATATATGTATATATGAGTGTTTTGCCTGCATGTATGGAAGTACACCATGTGTGCAATGCCCACGGAAGCCAGATAACAGTAGGAGTCCCTTGTAACTGGAGTTTCAGATGGTTGTTAGCTGTCATGTGAGTGCTAGGAACCAAACCTGAATGCTCTGCAGGAACAGCCAATGCTCTTAACTGCTCCAGTCCCTAAAGGGCTTTTTCTTGGGGGCTGGAGAGATGGCTCAATGGTTAAGAGCACTGGCTGCTCTTGCAGAGAGCCCAGGTTCAGTTCGCATCACCCACATGACAGGTAACAACTGTCCGTAACTCCAGTTCCAGGGGATCTGATGCCCTCTTCTGTCCTCTGTGGGCATTGCACAACATGGGTGCACTTACACACATGCAGGCATAACACTCATACACAAAAATAAAAATGAATAAATCAAAAATTTTTTTTTGATTTTTTTTTAAGCTATTTTTGATTAGGCACATATCTCAATTATTCAATATTCTACACTATCTTTAAAAGACTTTGCAATTCACACCAAAAAAGCTCATTTTGAGGTTATTGTGACAAATACACCATACTAATATAAAATGTTAATTATAATAGAAACTAAATGCAATGTATAGAGAACTCCATACTCCTTGGAAAAAGTTTTATTAAAAAATATTGTTTTTTATGTGTATGAGTGTATTGCCTGCATGTACATAAGTGCACCCATGTGGTACAATGCCCATGGAGGTCAGAAGAAGGCATCAAATCCCCTGGAACTGGAATTATGGATGACTGGTAACTGCCATGTGGGTGCCGGGATTCAAACCTGGGTCCTTTGCAAGAGCAGCCAGTGCTCTTAATCGCTGAGACATCTCTCCAGCCCAGAAAAAAATGTTCTATTCAATTAAAAGCTATGGGGAAAGACCAGGCATGGTGACACACTCCTTTAGCTCCAGCACTCAGGAGGCAGAGGCAGGTGGATCTCTGTGAGATCAAGGCCAGCCAGGTCTACATAGCGAGGGCCAGGCCAGCTGGGGTTACAGGGACATCCTCTCTCACAAAGACAAAATTTTAAAAAAAAGCTATGGGGGAAAAAAAATCCCTATTTCTGTGAACTAGAAGAGAAATTTGGCTGTCTTTAATTACTACCCACCTTCACTTTTATCACATTTTAAAAGTGCCAAAAAATAAACTGATTAAGTAAGCCAAAGAGGAAGATGCCTTATAGACATATTACCTAAAAGCAAAACTGTTCACAGACTATTAGCCAAAACGGTTGAAATCTATCACCTTTAAAAATGACTTACATAACTTGCAATTTAAAAAAAATTAAACTCCAGACTTACCACAGGATTGGGTTTGGGAGTATATGTCCGTGCAGGTTTAATTCCAGTAAGTAGTTTGCCCTTCACAGTAGTAGATAATACTTCTGAAGGAGGCAGCACCAATGGCTTCATAGGCTCGATGACAGAGGGTGTTGGGATATAAACTGGCTCTGGATCTACTTCACCTTCTACTTTCACCCACAATGGGTAATGTCGAACAGGCTGTTCAGGCTCTGCTTCACATATAGCTTAACAAATAAGGAGATGATTTTAGCACTGAAACAATGCCAAAACAAAATATGCTCCCTAAAAGACCTCTAGTTGTCCTCATGTACATATTTATTCATCTATTAATCAAATATTCGTTGAATACCTAATGTCAACAAAGAATAAAACAAAATACATATACCTTAGGCATCTTTTGTCAAATTTATCATTGTGTCATCTCTTAAGATGTTATCTTAAAAATTATTTGTGTGTGTGTGTGTGTATGTGTGTGCGTGCACATGTGTATGTGCACCTATGCAACAGAGCACGTATGGAAATATCAAAGGACAACTTGCAGGAGTCAGTTCTTTCATTCCACCACAAGGGTCCTAGAGAATCAATCTCAGGTTGTCAGGCTTGGTAGCAAGTGTGTTTAGCAGCTGAGCCATCTTGCCAGACATAGATGTTACTTTAAATGCTATTTTTATTTTAACTACAATTGTTTGTTGCTTATATATTGTATGCTAATGATATACGCTGTGGTCTCACTAAACTATTCTAGTAGTTTTTCTATAGATGACTTAGGATTTTCTCTGTAGGGACAAAGTCAGTTTTACTTCTTCCTTTCCAGTCTGGATGTCCTTCTTTTTCATACCTTATCACACTGGCTAGTACCTTCAGCATGTAGTTTTTCTAGGATTAGTCTGTTCATTTGTAGAGTCTGACCATTACCCAGGTTGATCTAGAATTTCTGGACTCAAGCAATCCTACCTCAGCCTTAGACTATATACTTAGACTATATATAGGCCATGCCTCTACACCTGGATCTTCAGTGTGATGTTTTACAGAAGTGGTTGAAAGCATACATTCTTCCTCATTCTCAGTCTTTGGAGCAAGAGAATATTAGCTCAGTCTTTCATGATTAGTACATAGAATGAAAAGTGTTTCAGAGATTCTCATCAGAGAGATGAAGCTCCTTTCTGTTCCTGGTGGCCTGGAATTTTTATCAGAAATGTATTTTGTCAATTCTTTAAAAATACCCATTGAAATGATTGTATGGCCTCTTTAAAAGTTTGTTCTGGTAATGGCAAACTATGTTAACTGCTTTCAACTGTTAAACAAACTTTTCACTCCTGGGATCAACCTTGCACTCCACTTGGTCATGATGCAGTAACCTTTAAATATATAGTTGGAGGGGCTGGAGAGATGGCTCAGCAGTTAAGAGCACTGGCTGCAAGACCCAGGTTCGATTCCCAGCACCTACATGGCGGCTACAAACTGTTCTTAACTCCAGTTCCAGGGGAATCCAAAGCCTACTTCTGACCTCCGTGGCATTGCATGACATGGGTGCACTCACATACATTCAGGCAATATACTCATATACATAAAATAAAAATTTTTTAAAAAAAGAGTGAAAACCAAAGCTAGTATAAGGAGGTGGATTAAAAATTCAAGAAACCACCAGGCGTGGCGGTTAATCCCAGCACTTGGGAGGCAGAGGCAGGCGGATCTTTGTGAGTTCGAGGCCAGCCTGGTCTACATAGTGAGTTCCAGTTTTAGAATCAAACCAGAAAAAGGACATGGAGACTTGCAAGTCAGAGAAACGTATCTACGTGAGCTTGGAGAGTAATTAAACTAAGCATCAATCAGGTCATTTGAAAAATGGAGAATAAAACTTCTTCATTTTAAGATTGTAAAACTGGCATGATATAATCCTTACAGGGTATCCAATGGTGTTAGTTCTTCCCCTTTGCGCCAATGGACTAATAGATTTTTAATAGTAGAAATCCTTTAAGTCTATTATAAATTACAAAAAAATGAATCATAAATGCCTAAATTTCATGGAGAAGAAAAAGTTTTAATTTACATACCAGCTATAAAATGTATATGTAAATGTGTAAAAAGCCAGACAACGAAATATACAAAGGAAAACCAATTTTATATCAAAGACCCATTGTCAAAGGTCCTACAAGTAACTAGTTTTAGTTATTTGTAACATTAGTGGTTATCTCAACCATCTTAAAATGTTCACATCTGAATTTCATAATTTAGCAGAAGCTAAGGAGTCAGTACAATGAAAGGAAATTAGCACCTTAGCCTTTTTCCACTTCTAACCTTTGTCAACTACAGTATTGTTTTCATACTGCCACTGAGTTTATGTTACAGATTCCTGTTCTATGTTTAAGCCTTTACCAGTTTGTACATGATCATTCAATTCTAAAAAAAAAAAAAAAACCACAAAGCCCATATGAATTCACAAAACTTGAAGTATATCACTATTTCGATAAAGTAGGCAATACTGTTAAAATAACCATCTACAAAAACTAGGATTACAATTTTAAGTCAACTAATACTCACTGTATTCCAGTTTCTTTCTCTTCTTTTTCTCCTTCAATGGTTCCTCCTCCTCCTCTCTGACTCCTTCTTCCCTTGCTTCTTCTCCCAATGAATCATAAAATACTGGATCTCGATGAGTAGACTTTTTTTGAAAATGCTTTGTTTTAGATCCCCCTTTAACAAGCACAACTTTTCTTTTCAAACAAGTGCAGCCAAACATGCAGTCTGGTCGACGGCAGTGAGCGGGTTGGCGCTTCTCCAAAGCTAGACTGGAACATATACAACCCAGGCGACAGAAGTCGTTGTTGCACGGAGGAGCTCGTTTCCTTATAATTGTGTGGATAGGTTTAGTTTTCAGAGATGCCTAATGTTAAGACAGAAAGTTTTAATTCTACTAATTCATTCCCCAAGACCACCAACAATTTATAGTCACATATTGATCTTTCTTCTCTGATTTTGAGTACTATAGCAGAAGACAAACACAAGATTCAAAAGACAGACTGCATACAACAAGGGCTCTGAACAAGCTACTATTTTTTTTTTTTTTTTTTTTTTTTTTTTTTTTTTTTTAACGGTT